CTGGACATGGACATTTCCCATGCTGCATTGTGTCGCAAACACATTTTGTCAAGTTGTGAATGCTGCTCTTTTTTTCTAACCTCATGACTGAGACACTTTCATCTTCACGGGGACCAATCAAAACAGAGGGACTTAGCATCCTATTGGCACACGTACTGTATATGCATAGCGAGTTTGAGAGAAAGGACCTAATATTAGCAGAGGGGAAATGATGGTGACATTATTTCCTTTCATTCAGCAACACCCAAGAGCTTGAGAGGCACTGATTGGTGGACTAAGGTAGCATTATCCACAGGAACCGAGTGTAGAACATTGCCGATGCATTGCCCCTCAAACACCAGTCTCACTCTTCCTCCTGCCTGCATTTTCTCATGTTCACAAATGCCATCGTTAAAAAACTGTATTTAAAAAAAAGCAAAAGACAATCCTGAACAATTGTGACTTGATCCCTCGGAAAACGGCATAGTGTTGTGTGAGATCTCACTCTGACTCTCTAGCCTTTAGTGGAGTGGTGACAATACAGGGCCTTCAAGTCTTGTAGCCATAGCTTGAACCATGTCGTCACTCTGCAACATGATTATGCGGAACAGAGCATTTCCCTCTGTTTAGCTGCAAACATTATTTTTTAAATATCTGGATATATTCATTTCTCTGTCCATTCCATTTGTGCTTTATTTGTTGTTTTGTGTTACATTTTATTTTAGTAAATGAAATATCTTTTTTTACTTTTTCTTTAAAAACTCTAGTTGTAGGACACTGACGGTCTGAAGGGAATCATTGTTGCGAGTCTCAACATTCCAAATGTAAAACATGCATCTCAGATTGGTCTCCAAATGACTGACATCCAAATGACGCAACTTGTAAAGAGAAAAAACTCTGTAAAGAGTTGTCTCCAACAGCTTAGTTTTGATACGTGGCTCAAAGCCTGCTTATTACCTCTTACTTGTTACTCACTGAAACAGATTCATTGATGATCAGATGAAATGATATGTGCAGGATCATTAGTTAATTTATATTCAGATGTTAGACTTTATAAATGATTAAATTGGTTAACATGGTAGCACTTTACAATCCGTGAAGGAAAAATGTTTATGGGATGGAGCCTTAAAGCCACCTAAATTATTAAATGCAGCTGATCATTCTCAAGCCATAATGTTCTGTCTTTATTTGCTCTGCATTGTAATTATTTGTTCCCTTTAACCATGCAGGAAAATGTGAGCCCGTCCAGCACTTTGAGCTGAGAAAAGAAAATCGTATCTGGGCTTATTATAATTAAATGGTGATTGCACGAAAACAAGCATTTGAATTTATCTACAGTACATCATAAATGTTGGTGTCTTGAGAGTCCAAAAGTTGTACTAGGCCATTGATCTTTGTTTGCTCTGACTTTTTTGTTCCTTGTTTTGTACCTTTTTGTTCCAAAATGACATTAGAAGTGTAAGAGTTTTAGGAAGCTGTCTGGACATCTGAGGTTGGTGAACACAAGACATGTGAAAAGGCAACAAAATAAATTGTACAACTTTTTATTTTTTTTAAACTGTGCAGCTAAACTCTGCAATCAAATGTGGTAACAACCATTGCCTGTGATATATTTTAATTTTGTGGTGCTTTGTAATATTATTATGATTATGGTATTTTATTTGTTTTTACTCCTGTACTTACTAGAAACTAGGCTGAAGCTCAGTTTCTCTTTGTATACCAATGTGAAGCTTTGTACAATTTCTTTCTGTTTTTTTGACTCAGTGGAAGTGTGTGATGTTTACATGTACAGAATTTAAGATTTTTTGTTGTTGTTGGTTTTGTTTGTCCTAGTAAAGCCCCGCCTATTGTCCTGTTGTGACCCCACAATGTGCTTTTTACTTTAAATCAAATCTGAACGGAGGAGAACATGGACATGCTGAACTTAAACCACAGTAAAGGCCTTTGCACACTTTTGTGCATCAATCTCTGTATATTTATTTTCTCACAAGTTGTTACTTTAATCCATGAAAATGTTTTTAAAGACAATTAAGAACAGTGTGAATTGTACGTTATTAGCTATGCTTTTGTTTTTCCTTTGTCAAACTTTAGTTTCACATCAGTGCAAAACGTTATCTGTGTAAGGGCCTTTAGACATTGTGGTTGTCACATTGATGGTAGATGCCGAGGATGAGAGAGAGGAGGGACTTATCATCAGCTCAAAGGGCACCACTAATTTTCTTCTCCATAAATGTGGGAGTAAAATGCCCCTTTACAGTAGTTTCCTTAGTTATGCCTGTTCTAGAGAAAAAAGCAAAAGACACAACTCTTGATGTCAAGTCATTTTTATTATTGGAAATGTAGAATAGGGGCATTGTGTTTGGGACAGGGCAGATCAACCCAACACATAAACCAACTGACCTGTGCTCTTTGACCTCAGTCAGAAGCCTCTCAGTAAGTCAGAAAGCCATTCCCCTTACACTGATCTTATGTATGGGACACATGCAAACCTCAGGAACCCTTTGGATCTGTGTTACTTTTTTTAACCAGGTCTGTACATATTGGCTGACGAGTCCTCCCTCTCTCCAATATCAACCCAATTATATTGGATTTGCAATGTATTTGTTTTGTTTGTTTTTTATATATTTATTGTGATTTTAAAGTGAATCCAGTACATGTGGCTGAATATTTGAATTCTTTAGAAAAGTGTTGATA